ATATATATATGTTTCCCATGAGTTCTGTTTTTCTGAAGAACCTGACTAAAATAGCACTTAATTTGAAAGTTCCTTATAGACCAGGAACCCAGGTGTGAAAATTCTTACCATGGCCCATGTATTAACTTCCTATTGCTGCTATAACAAATTTCTACAAATGTGATGGATAATTTACAACAACACACAATTATTTTCTTACAGTTCTAGGAGTCAGAAGTCAACAATGATTTCACTGGATAAACTCAAAGTACTGGCAGGGCCACACTCTCTCCAAAGCTCTAAGGGAGAATCTCTTCCTTGTACCATCCAGCTTCTACAGCTTCTTTCCCTGGTTCCTGGTCTTTCCTCCATGTTCAAAGTCAGCATCTTGTGATTCTGGCTCTTATTCTGCTTGACCTTCTGTTCGACCTTCTTTTCCCTTCTTCCTATATGGAAATTGTGATTACATTTAGTGGCCACCAGGATAACAACCCTTTCTTGCGATCCTTAAACTCATCTGCACAGGCCCTTCTCCCATAAAAGGTATCATGGGTTCTAGTAATTAGGGCCTGGACATCTTTAAGTGCCATTAGTCTTCAGTCCTGTTTAGAGAAATTGTATGACTTTCTTAAACCAAACAAAGCCACCCAAATTTGGAGCTACTCTAGGAAAGCAACTTAGTAAGATTCTAAATATTTGTGGTTATATCCTGAGAAATAGCAAGCACACAATAGACCTCTATAAAGGAGGCCAACAAAACAGCCATTAAATAAATCACCAGAAGTGCAGACATTCCAGACGCCTCCACTTGCCTTGCCATTTGCCTGTTCTCTTCAGGTGCTTGGTATCCTCACATTTCAATCCTCTTCTTCCTTTTCTCCACATTGATTTGTTCTCAGGAGAGAAAGATCTTAGTAATTTACTCTTCTGAGGCCTTGGAGCCTCAGCCTAATTTTTAACAGTAAGATGAAAGATCTTGTCCTCACAGAAAAGTGACCGAGAGCTCCCTGCTGCTCATGCTGGAAGCTGATGAGGCCCTTTTAGCTTTTTTCCTCACCAAGAAAATATTCAGTGTCAAGCCAGCGATTTCCTTCCCTAGAAAATCCATTTTCATTGTCAGTATCTCCAGCTGGGTGAAAGTTTTGCTGAAGACTCTTCTCTGTCTTCCATCTCTTACTGTTAGCAACATCTGCTATGTTTGCTAAACACACCGAGGCATCTAGGACTCCAGCTGCAGGAGTGGCAGCTTCGGGAGACAGGGTATACAGAATGGGTGAAAAACAGGGTCCTGAATTCTTTGCTGTCCAAATTCAAAAGCTTGATTCTCTTCGTCTGTGTCTTTGCCTCCTCCTTCCGGGGGCCCCTTCTGTGACTTTCTGCCCACCTTCTGGCTACATCACCAGCTAAGGAGACAAAGGACTAGACCAGTCCCTTCCAGATACTCATCCTCCTTCCAGATGACTCTCAACTCAGCCCTTGCTAAGATGTATAAACATGGAGGGTGTTGAAAGACTGAAAAAGTTTAAACTCAAAGAAAATAAGGATGAAGAGTGACACTAGAAGCTCAATAACAGGTCAGAGAGGAAGATATTTGAGAACAGGGAGTCTCGCAGGTCAACCAAATAGGCAATGCCACACCTTCTTTGCACATGTTCTGCTGCACAAGTGCATCTTACCTCAGGCTTTGTTTTGGGTACA